TGCTCTCCATGTGTCAGTATATAATGCCTGCATCTGTAACTTTCACTGTATGCATCTGAAGAAGTGAGGTTTTTACCCACTAAATAAATCTGTTAGTCTTTAAGGTGCCACCAGACTCCTTGTTGTTTTTGTAGATACAGACTAACACGGCTACCCCCTAATAAGGGGACAAGATACTTTCAAATCTTGGTGGGGGGGGGGGAAGGCTTTTGTTTGTGCTCTTTGTTTTGGGGGTTGTTCGCTCTTGGGACTAAGAGGGACCGGACATCAATCCATGCTCTCCAAATCTTTCTGAACAAGTCTCTCATATTTCAAACTTGTAAGTAACAGCCTGTACGGGGAGACTTTGGCAAACCAGTAAAGTGCCTAAAACCACAATGGCTTATTGTTAAAAAGCAACCTAGTCAGCAAGCTGTAAATTGGCCATTCAACAAACTCAGCTTGACCAAGGCAGGAGGGGCAGGGGTTTTGGGGTGCCACAGAAAGGGCAGCTTGACCCCGCGTCCTTCCTGATAAGAATTATGTTGAAGTTGCTGATACATGCATTTTAAAAGAGCAGGAATGTCTATTGGGGTCTCAGAGCTGCAGACTCTGGAAAAACCCACACCTGGCTAATCAATAATCAGAAGGAACCTCTTGCTTGAAACTGCTTACTTAACAAGGTTTCTTTAAGGGACATGTCATTCTATTACTAATGTATAAATAAGGGGACTCCTTTGGGGGACTCTTCGGGACTGGTCTCTCCTTCTGGATGCATCTTGTGTTCCCCAGCAGAAGACGGGCTGCCACTGTGCCACTTGAGAGCCACACTCAGCTTTGGTAATTATCAAGAGTTGGAGGTGTTTTACTACTCTTGTTGCGGACGTGTGTAAGTGCTTGAGTCTAAGTAAAGTTTAGTTTTAAGTGAAAGCACTCGTGTTGTCCTGTTTGTGCCAGCCATCTATCGGTCGGACGGCCGTGTTTCCTCTGATTTATTTCCTGACACCTCCTCGCACAGAGTTAAATTTACCAAGAGCTTTGGGTTGAAAGAACCCCGGGTAACAAGCCAGGCAAGGCGTGTTAGGTTTATCTTTGTCTTCTCAACTTGTAAATATTCCTCTTGCTAGAGGGTTTACCTCTGTTTGCTGTAACTTTGAACCTAAGGCTAGAGGGGGTTCCTCTGGGCTCTTTGAATCTGATTACCCTGTAAAGTTATTTTCCATCCTGATTTTAAAGAGAAAGAGATGATTTTTACCTTTCTTTCTTTAATTAAAAGCCTTCTTTTTAAGAACCTGATTGATTTTTCCTTGATTTAAGATCCAAGGGGGTTGGATCTGGACTCACCAGGAATTGGTGGGGGGAAAGGAGGGGGAATGGTTAATTTCTCCTTGTTTTAAGATCCAAGGGTTTGGATCAGTGTTCACCAGGAAATTGGTGGAGAAGTCTCTCAAGGCTACCCAGGGAAGGGTTATAGTACTTGGGAGGGAGATATTCGGGGGGGAGGTAGACAGAGTTTCCCCAATAACTCATAAATAATTTGGGTGGTGGCAGCAAAACAGATCTAAGCTGGTAGTTAAGCTTAGAGATTTTCATGCAGGTCCCCACATCTGTACCCTAGAGTTCAGAGTGGGGAAGGAACCTTGACACAGGGCCAGTACAAATCTTTTCAGGATCAGTAGACTTTTTCAAGTATTGGTCATGAACAGGGTGGGAAAAATAGCAATTCTGTGTTCCATTTTCCTTGAAATATTTACTTTTGCAAAACTTCATCACAGAGTTGTGTATTGTACAACACTTCCTGCACTCCAGGCCACTTCTCAGAAGCCAAACCAAGTCCGGAGCATGGAGGACTGTCTACATCTTTTATTATCCCTCCGACAACACAGCAAATTGTAGATTTACATGGTCACTGCTCAGATCCATAAGCAAAGCTGTAATGCCCCATGCTTGGCAAAAGCAGTATTGTGCTCCTGTAAACAGTAAAGTCTTGACACACTGTTGGTGCTTGACCCTCCTGCTGCACTTGCACCTCTATCACGGAAATAGTGAGGGTATGTTAAAAATGGTATGTGGAGATTTTCTCATGGGCAGTTCTAGCTCTCCCCTTCGAAATCAATGCTCTTGTGTTAGTAAACAGAACAGATCTGCTTAACCTTCCCATCCACACCAGACTAACTCCATAGACTTACCAACCAGCACCATCCTCCTCCTACCCACTCACCTCACCACAACTTAATGAGTTCAGGGATGTGCCCCTGGGTCAGGACCTGGTGCATCACTGCTACCTAACTCCTATTCATTTGTGCACAGTGTAAGCCACATATGAACCTGGAACACCTCAAGTCTCAGAATCATACCAGATTCTTTCAGTTTGGGGTTCTGATCAGGCATCATTCCATAGAGGGTTAAAGGATAGACAACTCAGCAGGAAGTGGGAGGTAATGAAACACACAGCCCAGAATAGAAGCCAGACCGGAGTTAAAATTTTGTTTTAAATTATTTTAATGACTTTCTCCCCTCAACACACCATCCCTACAGCTTTGTTCACAGAGGGGTTGCATTGAGAAATGCTAAAACCAAGTATCAGTGGCAAAGCTTGAAATGCAAATACTATTACATCTCCCAGTAGTCAGGTTCAAATCAGCAACAGATACACTAGAGGGTAGGGATCGGATACAGAGGGACCTAGACAAATTAGAGGATTGGGCTAAAAAAAACCTGATGAGGTTCAACAAGGACAAGTGCAGAGTCCTGCACTTAGGACGGAAGAATCCCATGCACTGCTACAGACTAGGGACCGAATGGCTGGGTAGCAGTTCTGCAGAAAAGGACCTAGGGGTCACAGTGGACGAGAAGCTGGATATGAGTCAACAGTGTGCTCTTGTTGCCAAGAAGGCTAACGGCATTTTGGGCTGTATAAGTAGGGGCATTGCCAGCAGATCAAGGAACGTGATCATTTCCCTTTATTCGACATTGGTGAGGCCTCATCTGGAATACTGTGTCCAGTTTTGGGCCCCACACTACAAGAAGGATGTGGAAAAATTGGAAAGAGTCCAGCGGAGGGCAACAAAAATGATTAGGGGGCTGGAGCACATGACTTATGAGTAGAGGCTGAGGGAACTGGGATTGTTTAGTCTCCAGAAGAGAAGAATGAGGGGGGATTTGATAGCTGCTTTCAACTACCTGAGGGGGGGTTCCAAAGAGGATGGAGCTCGGCTGTTCTCAGTGGTGGCAGATGACAGAACAAGGAGTAATGGTCTCAAGTTGCAGTGGGGGAGGTCTAGGTATATTAGGAATATTAGGATATTAGGAAAAACTTTTTCACTAGGAGGATGGTGAAGCACTGGAATGCGTTACCTAGGGAGGTGGTGGAGTCTCCTTCTTTGGAGGTTTTTAAGGCCCGGCTTGACAAAGCCCTGGCTGGGATGATTTAGTTGGGAATTGGTCCTGCTTTGAGCAGGGGGTTGGACTAGATGACCTCCTGAGGTCCCTTCCAACCCTGATATTCTATGATTCTATGAACAGTTTAAGTGTTGTATACTCAGAATTCAAGTACAAGGCACTTTATGCAAAAACCCTATAGCCATGCTACATCTTGTGCTGTGATCATGCGAAAATTCATAAGCTAAGGAGGACTGGGACAGTCAACACGCAGATACAAAATCCTCAATGAAAGCATGCAGTGCTGGAGAAAATGGTGCTGGTGGCTGAACTGGGGTACCTCTCCCTCTGAGTCTATAATGACCAATGACCGTGTAGGTCCAGTGAGCACTGGATTATAAAAGGGGTCATTTTGGCTGGGATGCAAGACCCAGGGCTTAATCACCTGTGACATTTCTCATAAGAATATGGAGCAATCTCTAGGTTCCTGGCCAAACTCCAATTGAGTATGTACAATCTGCCTCCCAAACGCCCTCTACAGTGTCATTCTCTTTGGTTACTCTGCACTTTTACTTCCTGTCCTAAACTGCTGCCCAGGGCTGACATGCAAAGCTAAGCAGGTGCTGTGCTAAACATCTGCCCCCAGGGGAAGCGAACGCCCGGGGCTCCCAGCGGAAACGTGCTATCCGGGGGCATCGTGCAACCGCGAGCTTCAGCTCCCCCCGGAGACAACGAGGGGTTAAACCCTCTCCCTCCAGCGCTGCACAGACGTCAGTGACTCAGGCCTCGCCCGGCAGGCACGTGTCCCCGCCCCAGCCCCCCAGGATCTGAGCCATCACCCGCTAACGGGCTCAGCCGCATCCCCCGGCCGGCCGGGTCCCCGCCGCACCGAGGGGGAGCGGCAGAGAGAAAGGGCCCGGGCGGGCCGGTGGCAGCGTTGGGAACGGAACCCAGGCGTCCGGGCTCCGCTGCCGGGCCCAGGGCGCGTGGGCTGGGGTCCGGCCCGGCTAGGAGGCGCGAGCAGGGCGATCCCTCCCAGGGACCGGCCCCCATGGCAGGGACAAGCCGGTTCCATGCTACTCACCGCTCCGGACCGGACACCGGCACAAGACTCATCCGCCGCCCCGGGCCCACTCAAGGGCTGCAGACCCCGCCCCCTCGGACGTGGCCTCGGAGCCTGGACCTGCCCCTGGAAGGCGGGATGTCGCTCCATTGGGCAACGCGATCCGCTCCCGGGACGGGATGGGCGCTATTGGTCAGTGTGGCAAAGGCCCGCCCCCAGGCCCGGCTGGAAAGCAAACGAGTCCTTAGGTGCTGCCGGGCGACCGTTTTGCGACACACGCTGGAGCTGTCTTGGCTGTTGTCCCGCTTCCGAGTGCAACAGGGCCGCCGAGATCGACCGTCCTGAATTAGCATGTTCGGGGCCGCGGAGGAGGATGACGCGGATTTTTTGTCCCCTACAGGCGGGTGAGCGCCCCTGGGTGGGTCTGACCACTCCTTCCCCCCCCCGCGGGGCGCCAGCCGCTCTCCCTGCCCGCTCGCGCTGGCTCCCTGGCCTCGGCCCCCGACGGGCCTGCCTGAGGTGACCCGCGAGCCACAGGCCTAGGGGCTCCTGCTGCCCGCGCCCGGTATTCGCCACACGGGGTAGTTGCAGTCACCCCCGTTGCCCTGCTTCGCTTCCTGTCCCAAATCGCCGACCGGACACGGGCTCTGCCGGGTCGTGGGGCTGGCTCTTTCCCCCGACGAGCGACTGACAGCGGGGGCCGGGCCGGGCCGCCGCCTCCTCCTCCTCCTCCTCCCTTCGTGCATGGCCCTTGGCGACAGGCCCCCGGCTGGCGGGGCTGGCCGCTCCGGGACAGCTCGGTGGCACAGTCGGCTCCGGCGTGAGGCTGTCGGTCGGGCCTCTAACAGCGGAGTTGTACCGAGGTTGTCCTGGCGCCAGCCGTAGTGTCGCAGCATCGCCGCAGCGCTAGTAATCCTTCGCGAGGGGCTGCCGCGTTAGCATTGTCCTTTCGCTACTGCTTATAAAAACAGCCCGTTAGCAACTTGAAACTGGAATCTTAACGCTCTTTGCCTTCATTTTGGCTGACTTGCCTTTCTGCTCTCCAATCTTAGTTGTTGGTGTAAGCCTGGTGGGTGGCCAGAAGGACCCATATAATGTATTTGTGGATTCCTGAAATTCGGGCAAAGGAAGGAGTGAATTTGGCAGCCAGTTACTTTGACAACATGCTTTGTAGGGAGATCCTTTTTATAATGAAGTAACTTCTCTCAAAGCTTCACTCTCTAGTCCAGTGTCTATTACAAATACAGTATTTATCTGGAGATGGCCACAGTCCATTTGAAATGACTAGTCTAGGCAGGCCATAAGTGTAAGCTTGCTATAAATGGAATTGCAAAATGCACACTGCTTCAGTGCATTGAAATGGTAGGACACTTTCATTCAACTTCACTGTAAATGTTTGACATCAGAGTAAAGTCTGTAGTCCTGTTCCACTGTGTTTCCAAGGGGTGCATTAGATACTGTAATCAGAGGAGTATTTTGAACAGTTGTCTTTCGACATTCCTGACTCTGGGGAAGAAAATGACTGGTCATGCTGGCTTTCATAAAGTAGTTTAGAAGTGAAACTACAGCTAATGGGTGACTTGGAAGAATTCTTGTTTAAATGGCTAAGAAGTCCATAATGTTGACTCTTAAGTGATAAAGGAATGTATTTCAGCCTCCTGTTTTAAGGCTGCTTTTGTGTAGAAATCGCTTAAAATATGCTAAGGAAAAACATTCATGAGTGGCAGGATCCTGTTTTTAGAAACTATACAAATCTAAGATTATATAGGCTTTTTCATATGATGCAGCTTAATAGTTCTAGCAGTTGCTCTGGGATCATTGATCTTTACTTGAAAAAGTCCATGACTTTCACTATTGCTTCATGCCGTATATGCATTATATCCATTCAGAACTAACTAAAAGTGGTAGTGAAGCCCTGCTCTTTAAACTCTGCAGGGAGATTTAGGGCCCTATGTCTTTGAGTTCAGACTATTGTGAATTGCTGGTGCAAGGTTGTCATGAAATAAGAAACTACAGGTCAAATTTTGCAAGTGGAAAAGTCTCTTCAGGGAAAGAGTGTGTTAATAAATAAAAACTGCGTTCTCAACCTGGCTCATTATTACATGTGGCCTTTCAGTAAGTTGGGCTACAAAGGAAGCAAAGAGCTCATGCTGCCAGTCCTCATACAGCAGAAGGACTTCTGTCTAACCACTAACCAGGAGAAGGCAGCTCTGGTGCAGTCAGAGCAGTATCATTTAAGTACTCCTCCAGGGCAGACAGAACTATTTGAGAATATAATGTTGTGAAATACCCTCCTCATTTTAAATCCCATACTAGGGAAATCTTGTTGGTACCTACAGTGACCCTTTGTGTTAGAGATGGGCAATGATCCAGAATAATTGTCAACTGAAAGGTAGAGAGATAAGGTAGTTGGTTTGGCAGTGCCAGTGCTGGTCACTGGCTCCCAATGGAAAACAATTTGTCTTCCCCCTGAGGAGAAAATTCTTAGAGGACCCCCTTGTTGTATGAGGTCCAAGGGCCTGTGACTTGGGAGATCTAAGAATGCCTGTGTGTGTGCCCCCAACCCAGGTAGTCAGACTTCCACTAGCTCTGCTCCAGCTAGCTCACTAAAAACAGCAGTGTGGCGGTGGAGCCTAGGTGGCGGCTTGGGATAGCTACCTGAGCTCAGTTGGTGAGGTGGGGTGTGTGCACTTGGAGTTAGGTGGCTAGCCTGAGCCATTGCCCAGGCCGTAATATCCACTGCACTATTTTTAGCACACTAGCTCGAGAGGAGCTAGCGCAAGTCTGTCTACCTGGTCTGGAGGCATGCTCCCAACTACGGTGTAGTCATACCCTCAGTTTCTCTGTGCCTCCATTTCTAATCTGTCCAATGGGGATAATAGCACTCTCTCTCCTATCTCACAGGTGTGGTTGCATGTAAGGATAATGCACTGAAAGACTGAGGTGCTCAGTTACTACAGAGATGGGGGTCACACAGGTACGATAGATACATGCTAGATTGAGAAAGGAAAGTTCCATCTATCATGACATCTGGTCTTTGGCTTGGCAGTTCCAGTGCTGCTCACTGGCTCCCAAAGGAAAAAGGAGTAGTACTAGATCCCTCTAAAGCAAATCCAGTATGGTTGATGCCCTTATTTTCCAAAGTGTATCTACTCACAAATGTCTCTTTATTCTAAAGGTCATTTGAGTTTATTTTATAATTCACTTTTATTTAGGTTTCAGAGTAGCAGCCGTGTTAGTCTGTATCCACAAAAAGAACAGGAGTACTTGTGGCACCTTAGAGACTAACAAATTTATTAGAGCATAAGCTTTCGTGGGCTGCTGTAGCCCACGAAAGCTTATGCTCTAATAAATTTGTTAGTCTCTAAGGTGCCACAAGTACTCCTGTACTTTTATTTAGGGTATCTATCTTCTCCCTGTGTCCTGTAGCCACCCTTACATGCAGAGCTGGATCTGTGGTGCTCAAAGTTTTCTCACAGAAAAACACTATGGGGTTAAGTCGACCTAAGTTACGCAACACCAGCTACATGAATAATGTAGCTGGAGTTGCTAAGACCCACTAAATCGATTCCCAGTGGATCAATCACTGTAGTGTACAGTAAGTGTAGACAAGCCCATATATTAGAAGACCTGCTGCTGCTTCCTTATTTTCAAAAGGAAGTGGAGTCAGGCGGGTGTGATGGTCTTGTGATGAGGTTAATTGTGAGTTTGCAAACAAAGTTAACTTGTGACCCATCTAAGTTTCTCTTCCATTTTTAGTTTTTGTAGATTTAAAAAAAAAAAAAAAAGGCTGAACACTAATCCCCTCTTCCCACAAACTTCTCAAGTACAAATGGCAATCAGATGTTTGTAATATTCTACTTAGAAGATCACATGTGCTTTCAGAAAATCACTGCTGTGGAAAAAAAAGTGCTGTTTAAAATCAGTTTCTACTACTGCTGTTCCTGTGTGGAAATATGCTGAGGTGCTACATTTCACAGAGAGCCGCAATAAAGCTTGGGCTCACCCCAGAATTTGTAATAGTGTTAGAAAAACAGTGTACAGAAAATGACCTTTCAGAGCATGCTGTCGGAAACATGGAGCCTGGAATATCTTTGTCAGGAAATCTGTGAGTTTGTTTTCACAGAGGTAGTTTGATTTTATAGACATTCTCTTGGGCCTTGGCTACACTTGCAAGTTACAGCGCTGTAAAGCCTCCCCCAGCGCTGTAACTCACTCCCCGTCCACACTGGCAGGGCACTTGCAGTGCTGTATCTCCCTGTGTACATCGCTGCAGGTACTCCACCTCCCCGAGAAGCATAAGAGATATAGCGGAGTGGCTATGACTCTCTCCTGTGAGTGTGTACCAGGAATCAACCTGCAGTGCTGTAATGATCACCTTGTCAAGTGGCCAATCCTCTCCATTGTTGTGACCGGCTGCAGGAATGCGGAAGTGCCGGTTTCAAAGCTCGTACCACAGAGAAAAAGCAAACCGTTTGCTGTTTGCGTTGAGTGAGTGAATGAATGAGCAGAGGGCCGGGAGTTCGGAACTTGCAAAATAGAGTGCTGACATGCTCCAAAAAGCACTCTCTCTCCCCCCACACTCCCTGTCACGCTCCACCACCATCCCTGTTTTGAAAAGCACGTTGCAGCCACATGAATGCTGGGATAGCTGCCCATAATGCACTGCTCCCAACACAGCTGCAAATGTTGCAAGTGTGGCCACGCCACTGCGCTGTCAGCTGTCAGTGTGGACAGACTGCAGCGCTTTCCCTACTCAGCTGTACGAAGACAGGTTTACCTCACAGCGCTGTACAGCTGCAAGTGTAGCCAAGGCCTTGGTGGTAGCTGAAACCTCACAATCTGTACTTAAAACTGAACCTCAGCCATAATACCACACTTTCAGTTGCAATTCAGAACAAACCTTTTGAGTTTCTGATCTCATAATGAACTAATAGCTCTTTTTTTCTATTATCCATTTAATATGGAAATTCACTAAAATGAAGGAAGTCTAGCAATGTTTTCTCTCTAAAATGCAGTATGAAATAAAGTTACAGTGTAAGCCAAATCTTCTTGACCTTAGTAATAGACTCAAGTTCTCAATCTGTTCAGCTTAATAATAAAAGGTTGGTTGCAGTCTATAAGTCTCTCTGTGGGGAACAAATATTTGATAATGAGCTCTTTAATACAGCAGACAACGTTATAAAGATCCAGTGGCTGGAAGTAGAAACTAGACAAATTCAAACAGGAAATAAGGTGGCAGTTTTTAAATCAAGATTGGGTGCTTTTCTAGAAGATTTGCTCTGGTTCAAAATTATTTTGGGGGAACTTCTCTGGTCTATGCTATGCAGGTCAGATTAGATTATCACAATGGTTCCTTCTGCCCTTAGAATCAAAGAATATGAATGTGATTAAAAATAAAAAGAAAAGAATTGAACTTTTAGGGCAGGAGTGGTGTCGAAGAATTCATTAAAATTCTAATCTTATTGCTGGATGTTACTTGGGCAGGAAAAAATATCTTTTTGCCTTTTCTCTGATGTAAAAAGTTATCAAGGCTGTACATTTTATAGTTTGCTGGACTGTGCTCCTAAACACCCTTTGTTCCTATGTTTCTTAAACTGTGCATCACAATACCAAAGTACACATTAAAATACATTAAATCATGAAGTTTCCTTGCTTTGATAGATTTTTTTTTTTTTTTTTTTTTTCCAAGGAGCAGGAAACAGACTTAAAGTATGTAGGGCATTCATTCATGCAATTGAGATGTCAGATGTTAAACTCTAAATCAGGGGTCGGCAACCTTTCAGAAGTGATGTGCGAGTCTTCATTTATTCACTCTAATTTAAGGTTTCGCGTGCCAGTAATACATTTTAACGTTTTTAGAAGATCTCTTTCTATAAGTCTATAATGTATAACTAAACTATTGTTGTATATAAAGTAAATAAGGCTTTTAAAATGTTTAAGAAGCTTCATTTAAAATTAAATTAAAATGCAGAGCCTCCCAGATTGGTGGCCAGGACCCAGGCAGTGTGAGTGCCACTGAAAATCAGCTCGCATGCCGCCTTCGGCACCCGTGCCATAGGTTGCCTACCCCTTCTCTAAATGAAATGTGCTGGAGGAGGGAAGCATTGCAAGCCTAGACCACAGCAGCATTGTGGAAGAGAAGTAGTAGTGAAACTGACTAGAGTAGTTCAATTGTGAAACTTCAAAGTAAACCTGTAGTATGAAAGATGGAAAGTAAATTAGATCCACACTCTTCCACCCTTAGTTCCCTAAGGTGGTGGTGGTAATGCACTCAAGAAAAAACAAGATTTTTAATATTAATTAAATCTAATTTTTAAAGAGGTATTTTTTGCACACCAGTTTTGTTTGGAAATAGGTGTACATTAACATCTGAAAATGAGGCTGTCTTCAAAGACTGAAAGCAGCTATGCGTTAAATTCTTGATACAGTAATAAGTATGCTCTTACAGTTTTTTTAGGGATGAACACTACGAATAATAGGGGTTGCTCACATTACATCCTACTAATATTTACTTAACCATAAAAATAAAATCATATCCATTCGATAGTAAGCAGTCTTTAGCCATTAGCCAGTGAACTCATAGAATCATGGGATGCAGAGTCCTGCACTTAGGAAGGAAGAATCCCATGCACCGCTACAGGCTGGAGACCGACTGGCTAAGCAGCAGTTTTGCTGAAAAGAAACTGGAGATTACAGTGGATGAGAAGCTGGATATGAGTCAGCAGTGTGCCCTTGTTGCCAAGAAGGCCAACGGCATATTGGGCTGTATTAGTAGGAGCATTGCCAGCAGATTGAGGGAAGTGATTATTCCCCTCTATTGGCACTGGTGAGGCCACATCTGGAGTATAGCATCCAGTTTTGTTCCCCCCACTACAGAAGGGATGTGAACAAATTAGAGAGATTCCAGCGGAGGGCAACGAAAATAAGGGGGCTGGGGCGTATGACTTATGAGGAGAGACTGAGGGAACTGGGGTTATTTAATCTGCAGAAAAAAAGAGTGAGGGGGGATTTGATAGCAGCCTTCAACTACCTGAAGGGGGGTTCCAAAGAGTATGGAGCTAGGCCGTTCTCAGTGGTGGCAGATGACAGAACAAGGAGCAATGATCTCAAGTTGCAGTGGGGGAGGTCTAGATTGGATATTAGGAAAAACTATTTCACTAGCAGGGTGGTGAACCACTGGACTGGGTTCCCTAGAGAAGTGGTGGAATCTCCATCCTTAAAGGATTTTGAGGCCCGGCTTGACAAAGCCCTGGCTGGGATGATTTAATTGGTGTTGGTCCTGCTTTGAGCAGGGGATTGGACTAGATGACCTCCTGAGGTCTCTTCCAACCCTAATATTCTATGATTCATTCTGATTCTCTTTATCTAGATTGCTGCTGTTTGGGTTTATAGCACTCAGAGGGAATGCTCTTAATCCCTTCTCTGCTTTCTTAAAAAACTTGTGTTTAAAAAATGCTTTACATCCTTAACTCCTGTATCTCCGTTGTCTATAAATGTCTGCAGTTGAGGGCCCTGGGGTATATCAGTGTGCATCCTTGCTTATATGGAGCAATTCAGTTTTGTTGTTCTCTCAATCTTGAGTACTTGTGGCACCTTAGAGACTAACAAATTATCTATATATCTTCCTACTGTATGTTCCACTCTATACATCTGATTAAGTGGGTTTTAGCCCACGAAAGCTTATGCCCAAATAAATTTGTTAGTCTCTAAAGTGCCACAAGTACTCCTAGTTCTTTTTGCGGATACAGACTAACATGGCTACCACTCTGAAATCAATCTTGAGTGTGTATTAGGTTTGGGGAAGCATAACAAAATGGATGTTCTCTATAATCCCCACTACAAATAGTTAAAATGATTTGTGCATCTAAAACTCCAGCTTTTTCCAAATTTAGTGATCAGTTAGTCAGTACTAAGCTATTTTATTTCAATCCAACTGCGGGTCTCTAAAACAGCAAATGACACTTTTATCTTGCTATAATTTAAAGTTAGCAACTTCCCTGTTCTTTAAAAAATCAAGAAAACTGTCCCATAAACAAAATTAATGATTTATTTTCTCTTAGCAGCGCCAGATTGGCCTCTCTCTTTGGATTGGATCAGACAGTATCAGTCCATGGAAATGAATTCTTCCAATATACAGCACCAAAACAGCCTAAAAAAGGCCAAGCAGCAGCAAGTAAGTATCTGGTGTGATGAATGTGTGAATTTTAGCAATTTTTATTATTCTTATGCATGCCTCAGTTTCCCTCTGGGCTTTGCAGCACTATGCACTGAGTGTGAAGAGAAGGGATGGGACAAAGTGTTAACAAACTGAACAAAGTCTACACATGTGACGGGAAAATCTAGAATATACAGTGGAAACCCCAGTGCCCGGAACATTCACGCTTCGCAACCAACACCTCAGAGGAAGGAGATTCACCATCTTACTCTGCTCTCAGGGAAGCAGAGCAAAGGCCCTGAGCTGGAGACAATGCTGTTAGGTGGCTGTGGTAAGAGCTAAACTCACAGACACATGGCTCTCATGTGGGGCTAAGACAAAGGAATAGAGACAGAAAGGAAGCAAAGATGCTTGCTACAGCAGCATGGCTCAAGAATGCCTTAGAATTTGCTGTGTCTTAACCTTTGCTTCTCTATGTAGACCTAAGGACTTTCAGATTCCTTATCCCAGGTGACTAACAAATTATTACATTGCTTTGAAAAGGCTGCCTGATGTTGCTGCAAATACATACTGAGAGGCATTGCTCTGAGAAAAGGTACAGAACATGTCTCATACAGTTGTCTGTCTTGGCTTCCGGGAGCCCCTAAGAGGGATTGCAAGCACCCAAAGGCCCAGTTTTGGAGCTGTGGAGGCCATGGGCTTGCCCCTCTGGAATTGTGTGGAACCTTGGAGTCTGGCACACTAAAGGGGTCCCTCCCAAGGGATTGGTTACAGGCTGGGGCATAGATCAGACCCTGTGAACCCATGACAGCTGGGTTACACGCATGAATAGCAAACCCTCTAGGCATGTGTGTTGCTGGCTAGAAAAGAGAACTAAGGCCAAGACTAACAGCAAACTAACGTAGTCTTTTAATGAATAACCTACAGCAGTAGACAGGGCCTTTTGTATTTTAAGATACCTTGGAATTTGCCACAGTCTCTTGCAATAAAATAGTGCTCAGGAGTATAAGCTCTCACTTAAAGTTTACAGTCCTCAAGGTGCTAAAGAGAGCATTAAAAATATTAACTAAATGTAAATAAATTAAAAAATCCAAGGTTGTCTCATAGTTTCAAGCTGTCTGCAGACTCAATCTGACAACTCTGAACTGCCCCAATTGTTTCAACGGCCTGGTAACTATGAAACTTAGAGCATGTCTACTCTTACTTCCGGAGCGATCAATCCAGCGGGGGTTGATTTATCGTGTCTAGTGAAGACTCAATAAATCGACCACCGAGCGCTCTCCCGTCAACTCCTGTACTCCACCGGAGCGAGAAGCGTAGGTGGAGTCGACGGGGGAGCGTCAGCAGGCGACCTACCGCAGTGAAGACACGGCGGTAAGTAGATCTAAGTACGTAGACTTCAGCTATGTTATTCATGTAGCTGAAGTTGCGTAACTTAGTTCGATTTTTTTTTTTCCCCCCTCCACCCCCCGACCAGGCCTAAGACGGCAATTTAAATTTCAATGTTAACTCTTTCATTGCTGAGTAGTTCACCAGAAACATCCGGCTAAGGCTTGAATCTTGAAATGCCAGACCATTTTCTGTTTTCTCAGTTACCAACTGCCAAAACTTTAACACCTTCTCCTGACAACTTTGCATGGTTCTGAACTGTCAATACATAAATCTGCTTGCTGCAGATTGAGGCCTAGGCCAGAGAACAGTGTCTTCATGCTGCCTAATACCAATAATTGCTGCTGTCAGCTGATATATAATGAGCTGCTTCAAGATGGCCCAGGTCTGTGTTTCAATGGCTCTTTGCAGCCCTCTAACTTCGTGTCGTGTTCTCCATTATAAACTCTTAAGGCGTCTATAATTCTGCTTAGCTTGCTGTTGGGAAATCCTCTTCTTGAACCAGATAGCAAATGTGGATAGCTTTGTTTCCGTTAGTTTATCTGTATTGGTTGGCTAGCTGCTAGTAAAAACATAAGGTGTTTTGAGGCGTTAAAAGTGCCTGAAATAGCCGAATTATTAAAGGTGCACACATTTTACTATGCATGTGCCTTTGCACTGAGCATGCTGAAGGTCATGTTTGTTCTTCTGACTAGGCTGGGTATTAAAGTGAGCTCTGCTCTTTGAGGTCCAGAAAACCCTGTCTTGTTATATTTCAATATTCTGCCTGATCAGTTGAATCATGTAGAGCATCAAGGTGTGCAGCACATCAAGTTAGTGTCCTGCCCACCAGAAATATGAGGTTCTAATTTCCTCATCAGAGAGCAGCAGGCCTTTTTTTTTTTTTTTTAAAAGGTGCATGTTTTTGTTTTAAATCACTTCAATTTTTGATGGGACCAAAATGTGTATGCTGAGGGCCAGATATTTAAATGTGTCTAACGCCTATTGACTTCAGTGGGAGTTAAGCACTGATAGTTGGGCCTACAAATTTATTCTAACTGTGAATTTAATTGTAAAAAGTAGTTCATAAGATGTCACAATAACCTGCAAGAACAAATATTGATGGGAAAAGTTGCGAAAGGGAGACTCATAGATTTTAAGGTCAGAAGGGACCATTATGATCGTCTAGACAGACCTCCTGCACAGCACAGGCCACAGAATCTCACCCACCAACTCCTGTAATAAACCCCAAACCTATGTCTGAACTATTGAAGTGCTCAAATCATGGCTTAAAGACTTCAAGGTGCAGAGAATTCTCCAGCAAGTGATCCGTGCCCCATGACGTAGAGGAAGGCGAAAAGCTTCCAGGGCCTCTGCCAATCTGCCCTGGAGGAAAATTCCTTCCCGACCCCAAATATGGTGATCAGCTAAACCCAGAGCATGTGGGCAAGACTTACTAGCCAGACACCCAGGAAAGAATTCTCTGTAGAACTCAGATCCCACCCCATCTAACATTCCATCACAGGCCATTGGGCATATTTACCGCTAATAGTCAAAGATCAATTAATTGCCAAAATTAGGCTATCCCATCATACCATCCCCTCCATAAACTTATCAAGCTTAATCTTGAATCTGTCTTTTGCCCCCACTGCTCCCCTTGGAAGGCTGTTGCAGAACTTCACTCCTCTGATGGTTAGAAACCTTCGTCTAATTTCCAGTCTAAACTTTCTGATGGCCAGTTTATATCCATTTGTTCTTGTGTCCACATTGGTACTGACCTTAAGTAATTCCTCTCCCTCCCTGGTATTTATCCCTCTGATATATTTATAGAGAGCAATCATATCTCCCCTTAGCCTTCTTTTGGTTAGGCTAAACAAGCCAAGCTCTTTGAGTCTCCTTTCATAAAACAGGTTTTCCATTCCTCGGGTCACCCTAGTAGCCCTTCTCTGTACCTGTTCCGATTTGAATTAATCCTTCTTAAACATGGGAGACGAGAATTGCACACAGTATTCCAGATGAGGTCTCACCAGTGCCTTGTATAATGGTACTAACACCTCTTTATCTCTACTGAAAATACTTCGCCTGATACATTCCCAAGACCCATTAGCTTTTTTCACGGCCATATCACATTGGCGACTCATAGTCATCCTTTGATCAATACTTCGAGGTCCTTCTCCTCCTCTGTTACTTCCAACTGATGTGTCCCCAGCTTATAACAAAAATTCTTGTTATTAATCCCTAAATGCATGACCTTGCACTTTTCACTATTAAATTTCATCCTATTACTATTACTCCAGTTTACAAGGTCATCCAGATCTTCCTGTATGATATCCCGGTCCTTCTCTGTATTGGCAATACCTCCCAGCTTTGTGTCATCTGCAAACTTTATTAGCACACACCCACGTTTCGTGCCGAGGTTAGTAATAAATAGATTAAATAAGATTGGTCTCAAAACCGATCCCTGAGGAATTCCACTAGTAACCTCCCTCCAGCCTGACAGTTTACCTTTCAGTATGAGCCGTTGTAGACTCCCCTTTAACCAGTTCCTTATCCACCTTTCCATTTTCATATTGCTCCCCATCTTTTCCAATTTAACTAATAATTCCCCATGTGGAACCGTATCAAATGTCTTACTGAAATCGAGGTAAATTAGGTCCACTGTGTTTCCTTTGTCTAAAAAATCTGTTACCTTCCTTCTCAAAGGAGATCAGGTTGGTTTGGCACGGCCTACCTTTTGTAAAACATGTTGTATTTTGTCCCAATTACCATTGACCTCAGTGTCCTTAACTACTTTCTCTTTCAGAATTTTTTTCCAAGACCTTGCATACTACAGATGTCAAAGTAACAGGCCTGTAGTTACCCGGATAACTTTTTTTTTTTCCTTTCTTAAAAATAGGAACTACACCTCTACCCCGATATAACGCTGTCCTCGGGAGCTAAAAAAATCTTACCGCATTATAGGTGAAACCGCGTTATATCGAACTTGTTTTGATCCGCCAGAGCGCGCAGCCCCGCCCCCCCGGAGCGCTGCTTTACCGCGTTATATCCGAATTGGTGTTCTGTCGGGTCGCGTTTTATCGGGGTAGAGGTGTATGTTAGCAATTTTCCAGTCATACGGTACAACCCCTGAGTTTACAGATTCATTAAAAATTCTTGCTAATGGGCTTGCAATTTCATATGCCAGTTCCTTTAATATTCTTGGATGAAGATAATCTGGGCCCCCTGATTTAGTGCCATTAAGCTGTTCGAGTTTGGCTTCTACCTCGGATGAGGTAATATCTACCTCCATATCCTCATTCCCATTTGTCATCCTGTCATTATTCCTAAACTCATCATTAGCCTCATTAAAGACTGAGGCAAAGTATTTGTTTAGATATTGGGCCATGTCTAGATTATCCTTAACCTGCACTCTATCCTCAGTGTTTAGCAGTCCCACTTTTTCTTTCTTTGTTTTCTTCTTATTTATATGGCTATAGAACCTTTTACTACACCTCTACCTCGATATAACGCTGTCTTCGGGAGCCAAAAAATCTTACCGTGTTATAGGTGAAACCGCGTTATATCGAATTTGCTTTGATCCACCCGAGTGCGCAGCCCCGCCCCGCCTCCCCCCGCCCCCGGAGCACTGCTTTACCGCGTTATATCTGAATTCACGTTATATCGGGTCGTGTTATATCGGGGTAGAGGTGTATTTGTTTTAATTTCCTTTGCAAGGTCCAACTCTACATGGCTTTTAGCCTTTCTCACTTTATCTTACATGTTCTGACCTCAATAAGGTAGCT